ACCTCCTCCTCAGGCCCTGGGCAAGGTGGCCGGTGCCTGGGTGGTCACCCAGCCTGGAGGGCCGGGCTCTTGGCCTTCGGTGGGGAAGCCTGCGGGGCCCAAGTCCTCTGCCTTCTCGCCCCAGGGGCGGGGGTCTGAGCCGTGCCACCGCACCAGAGGCACACCTGAGGGTCCCCCCCATCCCGGCAGGATCCTCTCAGTGGGGAGATGGCGTGCGTCCCAAGCAGACCAGGCCCCTGCCTGTGAGGGCACTTCAGCTTGTTCCCTGGCACCTTCTAAATATACCCTCAGAGGGTTCTTATCACACGGTGGCGCACAGCCGGGCTCTGTGCCCGAGGCTGCCCTTGGGGGCAGAGCCAGGAGGCCCTGACTCTGGTGGGTCCCCGCCCTGGGGCCTGGTCACCCTGTGACGCTGAGGGCTGGGGCCTCCCTTGGCCTTTCTGCTCGAGCCTGCCTGGGGCCTGTCCCCCACCGGGTGGCCCCCGGTGCAGGTCTCCTGCGGTGGGAGGGGCTGGAGTCGGCTGCCCGATGACATCCGGTGCTGGGTGGCTCTGTGTGCTCACCCCCCCGCCCCCGAGCTTCCCTCTTTCTCCTGTGATGAGGGACACTCACATCTCAGGCTTCTCGCGAGGACCGGAGGGAACAGGAAGCGGGCCCGTGGGCAGCTTGTCCCCACCTGCCTGCCACCCTGGGGCCTCAGACCTGCCAGGAAGACTGGGGCTCCCGGGGGGGCCGCCACAGGGGCCTGATGGGAGGGAAGATGTGGGTCCCCGCTCCATGGGTGGTGGGGCTGAGGCCCAGGCGGAGCCGTCTGCGGCCTGGTGCCGGGAGCTGCTGCGGAGCTGCCTCTGGCGTCGGGGGAGGTGCTGTGTCCACATGAGCCTGTGAGGCCAGGGCAGGAGGCGGGGGTCCCGTGTCTCCGAGCCCCCAGCCAAGCTTGCTTTCCGAAGCAGCATCAGCCGAAATCCTAGAGGCCGAGCGAAGCCCCCGCCCAGCGGCAGAGACTCGGGTGTGACCTCCTAACGATTCCTCAATGGGACCGGTGCACACGGGGCCCCTGAAGACCATGGCCATCACGCCCACAGCTGGCTGTGCCGTCCTGGGGCGGGGTGCCCTGGCCGGAGTGAACCTCTGAAAGGGACGAGGCTGCTGCCGCGGAGACAGCCCGGGTTGGGGGTCAGAGGTCAGAGGTCGGAGGGGTGGCAGGGGAGCCCTGGCCCTCGGTGGCCTGGGAGGCGCCCGCGCCCTTCCCAGCAGGCTGAGCGCGGTGCCCGGGGGTAGCGGACATTGGGAGTGGCAGCCAGAGGGGCGGCAGGGGCGGTGCAGGCTGAGAGGTGGGGCCCCCAGGGGCCCGTCTCACCTGGGCTGGCTCACCTGTCTCTCCTGGCTCCCCCCCATCCAGACATGTCATGGTTTGGGCAGTGTGGTGCCCCGAGTGGTGACCCGGAGGACACGGCCCCACCCCGAGCACATGTGACCTTCCCTAGACAAGGCGTCTTTGCGGGTGCGCTGAGCCCCGCGGTGCCTGGTGCCCGGACAGAGAGGACGGTCCCGGGTACCGGGGTGGCCCCGCGTTCACCGACCAGCATCCTCAGCAGACAGAACTTAAGCAAGGCCATGTGGCATCTCTACTCGGGGGACAGTGGCACTGAATGCTGGGCCAGGCTCCCGGCCACGGTCCTGTGCCCAAGCTGGCCTGGGCTCACTGTCCCCGTGGCCCTGGGCCTGTCCCCGCTGGGGAGCCCGGCATTCCTGTTGGCGGCTGTAACTCTTGTTCCACAATTCAGGGCCCTGTTGGGGCCGCATGGCCTTGCGTGTGTGTGGGGGGGGGGGCCCACAGCCTGGGCCCTGGGAGGAGTGTGGGCCGAGGAGCCGTGCACAGCGCCCAGCTTGGCTGGGGCCAGAGGTCCCCACTGGGTTGCTCTCCACCCAGTGCTAGGCACAGGCCAGGCCCCACTGCAGGGACGGCCCTGGCAGGACCTGAGGCCAGCCCTCTGGGAGACCCGTGTCATGTGGGTGCCCATGTCCGAGGACACTGAGCTACCGTCCTGGGCAGGGCAGGGCTCTTCCAGGCTCACCGTGTGCCAAGGGAAGCTGCTCGGGTCTGGTCCCAGATGAAAGGGCCCAAGCCTGGTCTCCCAAGTGACCCCTTCGGAACCCGCTGGGCCTCGGGCCGCACCGGCCCCCTGCTTGTCCCTGCCGGCCCCAGCCCTGGGACCGTCTTTCAGAGCCTTCATTAAAGCACGCACACGCGTTGTTCACTTAGTTTTCTTCACACTTTTAAAAGTTGTGGTAAAATACAGAAGATGTACGATTTCCCATCGCGACCACTCCGGGGGCACAGCCCAGCGGCATTGAACTCACACCGCTGTGGGGCCGAGACTCCGTCATCTCCAGAACTTCTGTCTCCCCCACGCACGCTCTGTGCCCGCGAGACACTCACTCCCGCCCCTCCACCAGCGCCGGCTCTGCCGTCCCGGCTCCTCCAGGGGCATCCGTGAGTGGGTCACCCGGACACGCGGCGTGTGCGACGGCCGCTTTCACTCGGCCGAGCGTCCTGGAGGTTCCCTGCGGAGGCGCACCCTTCTCTCCGCACCAGCGGTCTCCAGTGCGCAGCTGTATCGTATGTGTTCAGTAAACGGGGCGCAGCTGCATTCCCCGAGGTGCCCCGGTGTGGCCTCTGAGCGTCCCGGAATTTCGGCTCACAGCCCCAGGGGAGTCCATGGCCGGGTGCCGAGGACGCCCTGAATGGCCACCTCTTCTTCGTGTGAAGTGTGGGGTTCCCGTCAGTGATGCCGTGTGTCCCTGGGAAACGCCCTGTGGGTGGGGGCGTCAGGTGCTTCCCAGGAGTCAGGGTGCGTCCCCTGCCTCCCCAGGGGTCCTGCCTGGCCTGGGTTTGGTGGCCGGGCCCCCTGGCCCACCCCGGTCTCTGTTGGGTGCCGATTGGGCCAGCCCTGGGCAGGAGGAGGCCAGTGACCCCGAGCTGCTGTCACCTCTGAGCGCCGCCCTGGCAGGGCTTCCCGGTTCTTCACGCCCCAGGGCACCCTGATGTCCGATAACTGGCGTCCCGGACGTCCCCGGGGCGGGCGCGTGTGGTCCCAGCTCCGGAGGTGGCTCAGCAGTCGGGACACAAGCGGGGCTTTGTTCCACCGGCCAGAGCTGCCCTTGCCTCTGGGAGTGGCCTGTTCCCGCCCGCGAGTGCCCTCCGGGAAGTTGGCCAGGCTGCCCCGGGGCCTGCGGGCCTCTGGGGGTCAGCTGGCCTCTTCTCCACGCCGGCCGTGTCCAGATGGGTCCAGTTCCTGTTTTCCCTGGGCCCCTGTCCCCCCACCCGGGTGTCTGGGGAAGCCTGGTTCGGGAGCCTCAAGACCCAAGCCGGGGATGGCAGGTGGCAGAGGCAGGGGGTCGGGCGCCCCAGGCTGTGAGCCCCCAAGGCAGGGCCCCTGTGTGGGCACCTGTGGGGCTCCTGGGCCCACCCAGCACAGGCCGGGGCACATGGAAGGAAGCATCCCTCGTTGTCCAATCCTGTCTGGGATCAGCACTCTGAGTTCAAGTAGCTGAGTGACGGGGAGGTACCCCACCCGGACCCGGAAGCAGCTCCTCGAGTCATCATCCCACAGGGGCGGTCGGTGGCAGATTGCCACATGGCAGCGAGAGACCTGGGGTCTCACAGGGGAGACTCGGCCTGGTAGGGAGCAGGGCCGCCGAGGAGCCGAGTGTGGAGGCTGTGGCCTGCCCCTGCCCGCCTGCGCCCCGGGGGCGGGGACAGAGGACTGGGAGGTTTCCACGTGTGGCCCCGGGTGGGGTCGGCCTGGGCAGCAGCCCCCGCAGACCTGTGCCAAGCCAGCCCATTCCTTGGGCCTCACCGTCCTTGGTGTGGGGTGTGAGGCTTGGGGACAGGGCTGTGGGGCGTGGGATGCGGCACTGGGGGGTGGGACCAGTGTGCTGAGAAGGTGGTAGCTGCAGGTGACCCAGAGGCGGTCACGTCCTAGTCCCTGAACCTCAGACTGGTGACCTTTCACGGCAAAGGGGCCTCACAGGGACGGCATGCAAGGGACCCGGACACCAAAGGTCACCCCGGACCAGCCCTGGCCCTCGCTGTCGTCTCAGGTGTCTCCAGGGGGAGAGTCAGAGGTCAGGGAGGGGACTGGCTATGCAGCCCTTCCCGTCCCCTCCTCAGGCCCCACCACAGCCCCACGCCCGCCTGGACGACAGTCCCCTCCCTGGTTTGGCCTTGGTGGCCTCGCACGAGCAGGGAGTCCGTCTTTCGGTCTGTGACAGCCCTCAGAGGTTTTCGTGCTGTGCCCCTCAGGGACCCGCTGCTGTCTGTGAGGTGCTCTTGGGGGGGACACGGTGATGGCAGCTGGTCCCAGGGCACGTCCTGTGGCCCCCAGAGGGACAGAGGCAGCCCCCAGGCTGACGGCAGGGGCACAAGGTGCTGCTGGTCCCTGGCCTAGGGCGTCCCGGGCTTCCGTTCCTGCCCTGTGTCTGGCGGGCCATCGTCCCCGAGGAAGCAGCCGTGGGCTCTGGCTTGTGCCAGGGCAACTGAGGTAGGGGCCACCCAGGACCTCCAGGGGCTGCCAGCCAACACTGGGCCTCCCCGCCAACACTGGGCCTCCCCTCCGTGGACGCCTCCCAGGCCCGCTGGCTCCCTGGCGGCTGATCCTCAGGGCAGCTCCGGAGCGGGGCGGTCACCGCCCTGGAAGCTCAGAACGTTCATCACCACAAGAGGAGAGCCGGTGCCCATGGGCCCCGGTGACCACCGCCAGTCTGCCGTCTGTCCCTGGGGTGTCCCCACCTGGACACGGCACGTAAATGGAGCCCCACACACGTGGCCTCACGCCGTGACTGACTGGTGGTCAGTGCAGAGGCACGGTCAGCCCCTCCCGGCGTGTGGCCGTGCCCGATGCACTAGCTGCTGGGCGGCGGAGCTGGGGCCGGGGGGCCTGTCGGGGAAGGGCCAGCCGGCCGAGGGGCTGACCGCATGTCCCCCTGTCTTGCAGCTTCCTCATCGTCCTGGTCTGCCTCATCTTCAGTGTGCTGTCCACCATCGAGCAGTATGCCGCCCTGGCCACAGGGACCCTCTTTTGGATGGTACGTACGGACGGCCGCCCTGGGGCCCAGGCCTTCTGGGGAATGTGGCGTGGACTGGGGCGTGGACTGCTGCTCCTGGCTCCCCTGCCTGCTGGCCAGCCGTGGCCAGCAGCCATGGGCTCGTCTTGACGCCGTGGACTGGAGGTGTGAGGACCCTCCACCCCCAGCTCTGGGACTTGCCAGGATGTGACCATTGGATTAGGAGGCCGGGGGCAGGAGAGCAGCCTGAGGCTGGTCGTCTGGGAGGGCTGCCTGGAGGAGGGGGCCTCTGAGCTGGGCCAGAAAGGAAGGACAGGAGGACGTGGGCAGGAGGAGCTGGGCTGTGGTCGGCAGGGACTTGCCTAAGCCATCGCTTTGGCCTCAGGTCTGGGAGACTCCTGACCTGGGCCGAGGCTGGCACACAGACCCTGCAGTGGTTCCGGTCCCATGCGCCCCCCACCCCAAACCTGGACCACCCCATCCACTGCCCTGTGAGGCCCTCACCCTCATGTCTGGGTCCCTGGACCTCTCACCTGGAAGCCCCGCCCTGCCCAGCCAGCTGTGAGCCCCTCGGACAGCACCCGGGACGGCCCGGGACCCTGGGCCAGCCTGGCTGAGCCAGGAGTCTGCAGCCAGAGTGAATCGCGTCACGGGTCACGCCGAGCCAGGTGCCAGGAACATGCGACCTCACAGAGGGGACCCCCGCACGTGCCCCCAGCTGCAAGGCCGCCCAGAAGGTGGGGTGTGGGGTGTGGGGCTGGCCACGCCGCTAGATGGCCCCCTGAATGATGACAGCCAGCCGCGCCAGTGTCTGGTGCGTGTGGTGGGCTCTCATGTGTGGCTGTGCGCCCCCCACCCAACACCCCACCTGCCCACCCCCAGCCCCACGGTCCGGCCAGCTGGTGGCTCGGCACCGGGCACATCAGGGCTGCCCGGCCTGGCGACCTGCTCAGTGGGCTCTGCACACAGTGGCCTCGTCTACCCCTCCGCGCTCCCAGAGAAGGCCGGGTCAGGGCCAGTCCCCGCCTGGGAGGCTGGGAGGGGTTCAGCTGACGTCTCCTGGCACCTGCGCAGGTTCCTCTGGGGGCCTTAGATCGGTGGTGGCGCTCAAAACAGCCCCCTCATGAGTCCCCCGGTCTCCCGGCCACCCCAGGCCCCTGGCATGAGACAGGGCTTTCACCATCAACCATGAGTCCAGGTGACAGTGTTGTGCTTTGGGGTCCCTGCTCCTGGCCACTGGTTTGAGTGACTTTGTGTCCCAGGACCACCTGCCTCAGTGACATGTGTGCTGAAACCATTTTTACCTTTCGTGTGATTCGGTGCCCTTCCTACCTGGCTCCTCTTTTGGAGACTCCGAGTCTCACTGGCTGGCTCTTCCCAGGGGACACCACACCCAACGTGTCTGGCTCTTGGAGGGACCGTGGATGGCGTCGGATGAGTGGACTGGGGGAGGCGGACGCCTGAGTGGTGTGGGCCCCGTCCCTGGCTGGCGACTCCGTAGCTCCGGCTCTGGGCAGCGGCCGAGGAGCTCACGTCTGCCAGTGGCCTGCCGTCACATGGGGGTCTCCTGCCACTGTGCTTCCTGGCGTTGGTTTTTGGTGTCCGTGAGTGCCGCTGACTTTGTCACTGGGCCTACCCCCGTCTGCAGCAGTTTTCCCTCTGGTCTCGGGTGCTTTCTGGGGCCTCGGAGCAGGCGGGGGTGCATGCGGTGCCGTGAGCCCGCTGGGTGCGGGGGACTCGGGCTCGGCCATTGCCCGGCTTCGTGGGGCCTGAGCTCCCCGGCCTCCCTTGAAGGCTGGTGCCAGCCCTGGGGCGCAGAGGTCCTGGGTCCCACATGAGGGGCTGATTCGTGTCTTTTCTGCCTCCTTGGGGGGGCAGTCCCCACATCAACCACTTTTCGGGTTGAGCCCCTCTTCTTTTCAGGGAGGAGCTCCCACCCCCAGGTCCTGGTGTCTGGGTTTTACTGTCCTATGTGAGGTCATGTTGCTCACACGAGTGCAGGTCAACCACCGTGCCAGTGAGGGGGACAGCGTTTAGGGGCCACGTGGCCCTGCTGCGTCCGCATTGTCCCCTGTTCCTGGGGACCCGCGGGGGCAACCCGGTCTGTGTGGAGGCCCTGGGGCCGCAGCTCCCTGTGCTTGGTGGTGGTTCTGTCCACCCGGCAGGCGAGTGGTGGGCAGGGGCAAAGCCACTGGCATCGGGGGCCCAGGTGCCCTCAGGGGTCCTGTGTCTGCTCCCAGGTAGGAACGGCCTCCCACCCCCTGCCCGACCCCAGGGGAGGAGCTGGGTGAGGAAAGCCAGAAAAGAGCGGGTGTCCCTGGTGCTTGGGGTCATCACGGCGACGGGGGCCCCCCCGGCCTGGACCCCACACGGCACGTCTGCCCCGCGAGCTGCCCCTCAGGTTCTGCCCTCCCAGCGGAGACGACTGAGTCATTGATCCAGGTGGAAACTGAGGCCAGAAGGGGCCAGGGAGACCTGCTGGGTCTGCTGGGCACAGGCTCATGTCTGCCCTCCCACTGCGCGCCGGCGCTGTGGGCCCCAGGCCTGGCAGGGGATGGGGACCTGTGACCAGCTCCAGGTCGGCCTCTCAGCCCTGTTTAGGTTTCCTGAGGTAGCCGTGGCAAAACCCCAGCGTGCCAGGTGGCTGAGACCACAGACATGTACGGTCCCCGCCACGCCCTGGCACCTTCACATGCAATATCTGCCTGGAAATCTCACCAAGGGGCTAGGGGTCACCCTGAGACAGCCCTGGGGCCTTGGGACCTCCCTCCCTGCCCTTCCGGGCTGGGGAAGAGCACCACCCTCACCAGACGGGGCTTCTCCCATTCAGAGAGAGCTCACTGTCCAATCTCAGGGCACCTAGCTGCCGGAGCAGGGGAAGGGGGCTGAAGGCTCCTGTGTGACATTTCTGAGGCACGCCTGCCACCTGGTGGCCGATCTGTGAACTGTGGGTGCACTGCCCCCCAGCGGAGGATGGGGATCCAGCACCGGGGAGGGCGGTGTGCCCTACACCCTCTCTCCCTGGGATGTGGGTCGGGTGTGCACAAAGCACAGAGCCCGTTCCCACCGCGGCCCCACCTGCCTGTCCCCCCTCTGAGGGCAGACACGTGGGGCTGCCTCCCTTGTCCCCCATGTTCCCCTGCCCGCCCCCTCCTGGCCACCCGCCCCTGGCCACCCTCGTCCCACCAGCCAGCCACCCCACGCAGCAGCCACCTCCTGGGGAGGGGGCTTGCTGTTAAACGTCTGAACGTTCCAGAAGCTCCCTGTGGCACTCAGCATAGACTTGGCCTCCCTGGGCCCCCGGGGCCCCCACGTCCGCCCTCCCCTTGGGTGCACTCTCGCTGACCCCGACACTCCTCGCTGCCTCGGGCCTTCATCTGCTCTCTGGCATGTTACAGGACCGGCTCCCCGGCCAGTTCCTGGCCCAGCCTGGCTGTCCCTGCCGCAGCACCCCCACCCCGCCCGACCTGCCCTCTGCGGGGTCCCCGTCCTTCCCTCCCCTCGCCCCCCATCCTCTCTGCCCAGCGTGAGCCAGGGCTCTGGGTGGGCTCGGTCCCCGGCTCCACACCGCTCTTCGAGAGGCAGGCCGGGCCGGGCTCACCCGCCCGCCCAGCATGGGGCTCCCTGGGGCTGGAGCCCCCTCCTTGGAGTCCCCACGCCTAGAGCTGCCCCCACCGCACACCCCAAGTCGCTGTAGGCTCCCAGGCCTTGGTTCCCCACCTTGTAAAATGGGGGTGGTGGGCAGGATGTTCTCAAATACACCCTCCAGAGGTCTCACTGGGTGTCCAAGGCTCGCCCAGCTCTCAAGTTGGCGGTGTCTGGCTGGGGGGTCATGGCTGAGGGGCTGGGGGGACACTGGGGGGGAACGGTGGAGACGGGGCAGCCATGAGCCCACCCCAGGGGGCGGGGCAGATGTGAATTATGTCAGGACCGCTGGGAAGGAGGCGTGAGGGGAAGGGGGCCTGGGGGTGAGATGCGTCTCAGGGGTGCTGAGGACTTCCCAGAGGAGGGGACACCCTGCTAACGGAAGGGTAGGAAGATGTGAAGCAGTTTTGGGAGGGGGCTCGGACCGGCAGGGTCCCGGGACCGGCAGGGCCTCCCCACCCCACAGCCTCCAGGGTGGGCGCCGGGGCTCTTGGTACAGGTGGGATCTGGGGAGGCGTCCGTCTGTGGGGGTGGGGAGGGTACAGACCCCAGGCAGAGGCTGCGGACAGGGTGGGGAGAGAGCTGCGAGGGAGTGGGGTTTGCAGCCCCCACAGTCCAGGACACAGAGCCTGCTGGGCCGCAGGACAGCAGGTGGCGCTGTTGTCAGGGAAATGGGGGCGCTGCTGGCCGGGGGCCCAGGGCGCGGGAGCCCGGCCACAGCCCCGGAGCCAGAAGGGGCCGAGGGTGGGCTGTGTGCAGGGCCTCCAAGAGCAGCACGAGGCTTCGATGGAGGAGAAAAATTCACTCCGAGCTGTGTTTTCCCAGAGAGCCCATATTTCTTCCTCTTTTTTTCCGAGGCTCTGCTTTCTGGTGCCAGAAGGCTGTTATCTCGGCCGGGGCGAGGAAGCCCCAGGCGGCCGTGGAGGATTAAGCGTTCTGCTGAAGCAGGGATATTTGGGGGCCTGAAAAAGCCATTTTGCTGGAATCTCATCTCAGCGGTGGGGTCTGCCCGGGGCCTGTGAGCAGGCACGTCCACCGTCCAGGCTTTGTTTGTGCTTTTCCCAGGGAAGAGGGCCCCTTCTGGGGCTGCCGGGGGGGGCTGCTGCAGGGGCTGCTGCAGGGTCCCTGTACCCAGAGAAAGCCCCCCCCGCACACATACATGTGTGTGCGTGTGAGCCTGCCTGTGCACGTGTGTGTGTGTCCACACTTTGTGCCTGAGTTTCTGGGTGTGCCTTGTGAAAGGAGTTCTGGGTTTGGGGGCTCTCCCCTGTCCCCCTGAAACTGGTGCTGGGCCAGAATCCCCCCACTTTCAACACAAAGACCCTCCCCAGCCGGGCGGGCAAGAGGCTGCTTTCTGTCTCTGAATGGCAGCTCTC